AAAAAAAAAAAAAAAAAATAAAATAAAATGTCCCACATACTTTCAAGTTTTAAACAAGTTGGATATCAAGCACATGAAACCAAAAGGTGTGGACAGATATTATCAAACTCTTGTGTTAAATTCCTATCTGCTATATTATATCTGTTGGACCACATTTCATATGGGGCCCTTAATTTTATTTTGTCCAACTGAAAGTTTCGTGTGGCCATTGAAACCGGTGATTTTTAGTACTTAAAAACCAGATGTGACCACTTGGGGATAGCTCTATTTTGCACTTTTCTTCCCTGCATTAGTCACAAATATTCACCTTGTTAAAAAAAATTATTAAAGGGCATGTATTTGGGTCGATATTTTTTATTTTTTTTTTTGGGTCCGGTGGTTAAGATTCATAAGATGGATTGTGACACAAATTTCATACTTTGTTTTCATTTTATTAGGTTTTGGGGGAAAAAAAGTCAATCCTAACTGCCCTCACCAGTAGGCACAAATATTTTCGATTTTAGGATCTATAAATTTGGATTGTTTTGCATCAAGATACTCACGATGTGGTTGTTACACTACAATCGATTTCAAGTAGATGATGGAATAAATTATATTAGGATTTATGGATGTATCGATATATCTTTTAATTGAGACACTAGAACAGGAACATAAATAATGTTATGAAGCACAGTCTAACAGATTGATCCATAAAAAGGAATATATATACTTATATTCTACACACTATAAAAAAATTATTGTATTTCAACGGAAAATTCTATGGTAATATATTCCAATGGATATAACTTCTGTTGGAATGATTCTAACAGAATTTCCAGTGAAAATATTCCGTTGGAATATATTTTTCATTGGAATTTTAGATAGAATTTAATGATTCCAACAACTATATTTCCAACGGCTTTTGACTGTAGAAATTTCCGTTGGAATATGCAATTTCCAATGGAATTTTTATTTCCACCACCATTGAAAAATCTATTGTTGGAATCGTCAAAATCTAACGGAAATTCCAACGGAAAATTCATTCCAACATGATATTTTTGATGGAATTGCCGTTGGAATTCTATTAAAATATATTTTCGTCGGAATTTCATCATTTTCTTGTAGTGACTTTAATTTATATATATTATTTTCTAAAGTATGACATTTTTTTATGAAAGTATGATGTTTATTAAAAAAAATATGATTTTCCAAACAATAACAATTGAAAAAATG